TTTTTCTTGTCTTCACTTTCTGCCTTTTCTTTTCAAAATGTTTTTCATTGAACGTAGGCGTAGACTGTAAGCAATTAAATGAAGAACATTTTCGGGGCGTTTAACGTGCTACCAAAGAAATGAAAATCAAAATACATATATATATATATATATATGTATATATATATGTATATATATATTTCATATAGATTGAGAATGTGTGCAAGAAATTTAGAATATTATTAAATGCATTTTAGGATATAGCCAGCAAAACTATACCATATAATCAGTTTGAGGTTAACGCTTCTTTCCTTTGTTTAATAATTATTTTTTACTTTATTACCGTTACAATGCTGTTGCATTATTATTAATGTGCATAGCTGGTTAACTTGAGATCGGTAAAAAGCATAAATGAATTGATATTTCTCTCGAAACTTCTTCCTTGTCAAATTGTCATAATATTTTACACGAGTTTCGAAATCTTTCAAGCCTTACTGAGTCCATACATACATATTTTGGAAAAATAATTGAAACTATTTGATCGAACAGCCTTGAAAAATATAACTAAGTAATATATGATATTGTTCTCTTATTACGTCATACATTAAGTCGTAACTAAAATATACACCAAAGATATACGAAAGTATTAATCGGCATTATATGTTGAATAATTTTTAATTATTTTTTGTTTAATTATAATTGTTTAATTACAGCTTGGGCAAGTATGTGTGCAAGTAAAGAAATTGCATATAACTGAAAATTGTTAAAACGTGCCGCATTAATAATAATAATAAAAAATAAAAAAAAAAAAACACAATATTAATAAGCTTTCTGTACAGGCGGAAAGTCGCCGGCGAAAGTGTCTGCCAAATTTGATTTACGAAAGTTGGTTGCAAAACTTCTGATCTAAACTTTCAAAGTTAGCCAGTACTTGCGACGACAAACTCAGAGTTTTAGTAATCTCCGATCACCTTTTGAGAAGAGACATGAAGACATGACATAACCTCAATATTTATCCACGAGTCTTTTCATCCCATGGCAACCATCGAACGATAAGTATTGACATTTTATGACATTCCGTTACATTGCATGAGTTTATGTGACTCTACGTTCTTCATCGCTTTGAATCGTTTTTGTCGGTTGATGCCGACTTGATGCTGGAATGCAGTGGTGAAAACATATCTATTATCTATTTGCACCTTATCCTTGTTATTTAATCTAAACAGCGCTAAACAGCGTTATGTGTCACCAACACTTTGTGGCCAAAGGGAAGCAAAGGGGGAGTGTCAGGTATCTCACATAATTTTACTTTGCGATCCCGAGCGTTCAGCTTGATCGGTGTTCATTCGACTTGGTTCAAAATTGGCAAACCCTGTATAAATTTACTTTTTTTTGAGAGGCAAGAGTCGTCATAACATTTTCCAAACCAATACTGATTGTTAACGATATTTTCCCTTATCGAAAAGCAACGTTTTTTAAACAAAAAAACAAATTTCAGAGTTTGCGGTTGTTTTGAAAATAACCCAAGTAAAGTCACTGAGCCAAGTGCAACTTGTAAACTTATTGCGAGAAGATCATAAAATTTGACGATTGGTACTATTCCGGTATCTTATGGGTCGCCTGTCAACAAGGTTGCTATCTATGTGTCCGAGGGTAGACTTATTGAACGATGTTCTACTTTCGCTAAAAGTGTTTCCACTGCTCATATACTTGGCGTTTTAACACACATAGGTGTACTTCTCTTCAATTCAATTCTTTAGTAAATCTCTGAAACGATGATCCGTTTTTGTTCATAGTTTCATTAAATGGTGCGTGCAATTTTGATTATTGCCGCTGCCTCGTGGTTAAATGAACTGCCTTGCAGTGCGCTGCGGTACATGCTCTAAATTTAGATTGAGTTAAGAATGACCTTGTGCAATAGAAGTTTATTTTCCGAAAAACAAAAAACACTTTATGCAAAGCAAGTCAGTTTACGTTCATGTTAAGCTTTCTCCGAAGAGGGAGAGTCATTTATTTATAAAGTTTGCATTCTATTGAAATTGATAAGGAAGATGCGCTCTTTTCTTAAATGTAATGGCCTTCGAATCGATACCGGTTGCTTTAGCTTACCTAATATAAGACATCCATTCTCTGCGAGTTTTTCTTTTACATTTTTGATTTATAATTTTGTTAATTGGTAGAGGAGGGGGATCGGACGCATCATGCATCATGCTTTATAATCTATTTATGATTTATAAAAGCCGAATAAATAACGAAAAATCTCATTTTTTAATATTAGAGTGTAATCTATATCTATGCGTAGATATATATATATATATATATATATATACATATATATATATATACTAGTACTAGTCATATGAAAGTTCCAAGTACGACGAAGCAAATATCTATCTATTTGTAAATCCTTTTTGGCTATCGATGACATGAATAGAAAAACTTTGCTTGCTAGCACAACTTTAAAAGTGTTTACTCTCTATGTTCGTCGGTTTAACATTCAAATAAACTCTTCGTATTGTGAAAAGATTCACTTTGGTATCTAAGTTGTAGATATAATGTATATGTGCGCTTAGATAAGTATGTTAGTTGATAAGTATGTGTGTGTGTGTGTGTGTGTGTGTGTGTATGTATTATTCATTTTTATGTTTTTCAGTTTCCTTCGTTTAATATTTGCTTGTATTGTTTACATGTTTACATTTTACTTTGACGAGGCCACATACAATTCTACTTATGGCAAATGTTATAAATTTGTTTTGCTTTTCTTTTCCTTTCCTTTCGTTTCTCTTCTCTTCTCTTCTTTTCATTTCATTTCATTTCATTTCATTTTTTACTTGCATTTTATGATATATATTAGAAAATTTATATTTACATGTTTGTTTGCTTTTGTTTTGATTGTCTATTTGTATACTTGTTATGATTTATTTATATTTTCCTTCTTGTCTTCATATTTATTTAAATGTGTTAGTTAAACATAATATACGTTATTCAAGGGAATTAATTCGTATGATTTTTTTTTTTTTCCTCTTCCTTTTCCTTTTCTTTGTCCATTTCTTTTTCATTTTTGATTTCTTAAATAACTCTCTGTTCGCAAGTTATAATGAGTATTAATGAAAATCAATCATAAAATGTTTAAAGCTTAAAATGTTCTTTTTCTTCTTTTCTGCTTTTCTCAAGCATAGTTTTTTTTAACACAATAATTCTCTTACACTTTTCTTCTTAATTTTTAATACACATACACATACACATGAAAGGATGAGTAACTAACCATGGCCTTTAATCTGTTAACGAAACATGAGGGTAATCATCGTATTGGAAGCAAAAATGAGGTCTGTCCCTTTCTCCAATAGTTTCTAAAAGAATAAGGAATGAAAAAAACTTTGACTTTTCCATTGCAAGGCACCATCTTGTAGTTATACGAGATTGTGGAAATTAAACCGCTAATCCGTGGACAATGTAATTTCTTCAAGTTTTAAATCGGTACAGTTCTGTACCAAAATCTATGCGAAAGTTTTACTTTTCCTGCTTATCTCGAGGGATAGTGTTGCTAAATCGTTATGTGTGATGCACAGCGGATACGTAACGATACTCAAGGGCTCAAAACACTGTGATATATGGCACAAATATGATATTGTATTTCGGCCATAAAGCTGAACAGGGCGTGGTATATGACGGCTTGTTTCAAACGAATGAAAGATTGATGCATCAACAAAACCATCAAAAAAAAAATAAAAAAAGTGGGCGTGATGTGCCAAAAGTCGCGGGTTCATATGTTTTAGTTATGAAAGAAATCGCGCTCGATGAAGTAAACCTCCCTACCCCTTAAAGTGCAAAGCTTCATCCCATCACTCCCCACTGTTATTAGCCCACATTACTCCTCCCGATTAACATAAGTTTTAACAGATGGTTTATTGTTTCTTCCTATATATAGGTTCTTTTGCGTATAGTCTCCATAGACATTTTTTTCGAGATGCAATTCGATAATTGTAACAGTTGTAGCCAGCGATGGATCATACCATTGATTAATCTGTTATTCAAAATAAAATGCATTTTACTCCCAGTAATTTCGTCATATTGTTTATGGTAAGAGTTCGAAACCCAATTACCTATAGTCAGCTAATTACTTTTTCATTTTCTTCTCTTGTTATTGAAAGAAGTTTGCTTGGCATTTCATCATGTCCACCTATCTATCTATCAATCTATAGTTCGTCGGGTGAACTCTTATAATAGAAAAATTGGAATTTTACAAAAGTGCTTTCATGTCAAATTCACTGACCGATACAGATATGGGGAAATGATGTAATGCGACCTATGAGAGCAAAAAAAACTATAAATTTGAAAATTTCCTTTGGAGAATTACAAGGCAATTTTTTAAAGGATTAAAGGCTTAAATAGTTCATAGAAAGAATTAAAAAATGTTGTGATCCATTGACACACTCTCACGGCTTCCTAGAAAACATTAGTTAGGCGAATATGAAATTCTTATGAGCTATAATTATCAAAGCAGCATTTGTTGATTATAAAGAAATCAAATGCAAGCTCGTTGTTAACTAAAGTGTAAATGATATGGTGACAGCAACAAGAGATATTTGTAAAAAATAAGAATAATTCGTCTATACGAATATCTCCTTTTACTAAATTTTCATGCTAAACTTTTTGACGGCCTTCAGAATTCTAATTTCTAAAAATCTGTATACAAAACAAACGAAAAAAAAAAAAAAAATAGAAAAAACCCGCAAAATTATTAGTTGAACATTTGAACATTTTTTAGTTATATATTAATATTAAAGTTGCTCAAATAGATGTTACATATGTAAGCATGTAAGTACGTATTCTTAAATATATATATATATATATATATATATAATTCACAAGATCTGAATAAACTTAATACTTATGGTATATGCACTATACACACTTGGCATATTCATAATTTTTCATACATAAATATTGTAATTATGATAAATACATAAGTAAATAAATGTATTTGTTCAGGATAATTAGTATGCGATAGAGAAACTCACCCTTGTATCACAATAACCGGCCATTTCGTTGACACTCAAAAACAAAAGAAATTTAACTTGCTTGCCGCACCGCTCAACTCCGAAACGAAATCTCTAAAATTTAAAAATTTTAAAATAAAAATTATACCAACAGACAGAAAAAAAAAAGAAGATTTTTAAGCGAGCGTAAGATACTCATGCACTAATGATTTGATTCATGGGATCACATTAATTGATTCTGTATGTTTACGCATAAAGAAAGTCGATTAATGATAGCGCCCAATAAAGGGAGCTTGAAGAATTTTGCCGGGGGCTCATAAGTATTGTAATAAATAACTTTGGACTTCAAGTTATCAGTTATTAGTCGTCCATAAAATTGCATTCTTCTCTCATCTAAAATATTCCTTAAAGGTTTAGTCCACTGTAATAGTCTAACGATAGGGGAGAAAGGAAGGAAAGATTGCAAAACAATCGTATTTGAGGAAATTATTACTAAGCGTTTCCTTATTTGCTACAAAATAATATTATTATGGAAAAGTGTTCAAAACCGGCAAAACCATAATCATTCTCTGCAGTCACCTTGAGCTCAAGGAGCTTTTCGGTAAGCCACATATCTGATCCAAATATGATTTTAAAAAAAAAACAAAAAAAAATTATTCAATCTACATTCGTATATCTATAGAAATATGGGCGGGATTTTTCCGAAATATTGATTCTTGTGTATTAATACCGTGTTTGAGGGTAGAAAGTCAACTTTCGATCCAGAAAAAGTCTCTCTTTTATTAATAAAATATGCTTAAATTAATCTATCGAAAAGGTCCTGCGCACTTTTGTGGAGAATGTTATTTCAAAGGCACTGTAAATAACTCGAAGGAGATAAAATTCGAATTTTTTCTCGAATTATCCCGCTTGCCGTTTCCGAAAGTCAATTTTCGAGAAAAATGACATTTTTGTTATGGAGATGTTTTCTTATCACAATACATTTGCTTTTCCATTTTTTCGACGACTTTATGTCCGATAGTGTCCCTTTCGGCCAGAATCAAGCGTTTTGCACTTTAAATGTTGCGAAATAATAGAAAAGCAGACAACCGGACAATCATTATCAACTGCAAAGACTTCATACCGATCTTCTAGTTTCTTGGCAAAAGGATTGAAAGCTTTCTAATCACTCTTGGCCTCATATCTACTCGAAAATCCTCTTGATAAAGTTATATATATAAATATATACATATATATACATATATATATTTTTGCAAAGATTTTTGAATGAACATGAAAACTTTACAAAGACTTTTGCTAATATGTTGAAGTTCGTGTAGTTATGTAAAGTTGTAGTGTTTCAGAAATCAATTGGTACAGTTTTAGGTTTAACTTCCCAGTAGGTGTTAAAGAACGTAAGAAATTTTAAGAAATTGTTTTTAAGAAATTTTGAAAGAAAATATGTTTTGCGAATAATGAAAATATTTCCACGTACACAGAAGGTTAAGGCTCAAAGCAAAGATAGTTACAGTTGTATTATCGTTTCTCAATTTGAAATTTCTTAAATTCGATGCTAATCTATCTATCTACCTTCCTTAAATCTATCCCGCTTTTCACGCTTCAGCTTCGAAAGTACATTTATAGCTAGGGGTCAATTATGTATTTTTGGTTTAATTTATTATCAAAAATATGCATAATGGATATCTTATAGAGGGAACGAGTTTTAAACGAGCTGTGTCCGTTCAATTACATAAATTATTTTACAAGTGCAAATAAGCAGAAGTTATTCAAACGTTTCCCGCTACTGTGGGTTCAAATCTGAGTAATATTAGGTTGGCAGTTTGAAGTTACCTTTAAAATGGCAACAAATCATACAACAAAACGGTGCATATTTGACCTAAATCGGACAATCCGAAGCATGTTAAATAAAGTCCTGAAGTTCATATAAAAATAATGGATTTCTTTTTCCCCAAACTAATATTAAACGATTTTATCTGAATAATTAATTTGCAAGAAAATTGCGTCACTTTGTGTGCGAGTATGTGTAACATCAAGAAGGACTTGAGATAGTTGCATCTTTTATCCTCAGAAGCTTGTCTGTCCGTTTGTCCTTCTTGTTTCCTTTTATTCAACGCAATTTCTCGAATGTTTTTGACCCAGGGACAAACACTATTAAAAATAATTTGAATTGGACCAATGTTCATATAACGGCCTTTTGTCAGGAATCGTTATATGAGGAATTGTAAGATTGTATAGGGTATTTAATGGTCGGCCGTGGCAGCCTATCGTGTTTTTATCTGCTTTTTTGTTAATCGCTTAACAATCGGCTATTCAATCTACAAATTTTATATTATTGAAAAAATTTCCCGATAGTCGATAGGCTGTTGTTAACTTTTGAACGCAATTAAAGGACCAGCGTTACGCTAAGCTAGGAAAACTGAGTTTTGAGATAAAGGCCGTTTAGGTCTTCCAGTCTTCATTACTTACATTGCTTCCGCAACTTTTGCAGCGCTCTTAACATGTCTGCAATAAGGTTTCGCAAGTCTGCTCGGAATATCGACATGCTGGACCATTCAAAATTTCGGCCAACTCATAATCATAAATATTATCATACTGTACACCATTTGCTTAATATGTTCTTTTTATTTTTTGAGAATAATTTCCTGAATTGATTTAAAGTTCGGCTATCTGTCTGTTTGTCTGCGTGAAGTCTGTCCATGCCACCCGTAATGTTTTCGTTCACGTATCAACACTTATCAACGTCTCATTTTTAAGGACTTGTCGCATGAAAAGCATTTGCAATTTTGAAAATTTCTCGGTAAAAGTCACTAAGCCATAATACATTGCATGTGAAAATGTTGGGACCATGTGAAATGTTGGGTCGTACAACTAACCCAGACATGTAACTTTTAAACCTTTTGTGATGAGAATCTATAAACGTAATTTAATACAAAAATTCACTATACCAACTTTGCACAACATAATGGTATTTACTAGACACCATCGCTGAAAACGTTTCTCAGGCTGGCGTTTACATCGAAACAAAATCGAAAAAATTGTTGTTAAATACATTAGTAAACTCAATAAGGCCTTGCATTAGGCGTGGTGGTGTGCTAGATTTCATGAATGCCTTCGTCCTTGTTTTTAAATAAATTCAAAAGTCTTTCAGTTCGGGCAAATAGAATATCGAAGAAATATCACAGGATGATATTACTCCTTAAGCCATTGGTGCAGTCGATGTTTGTAAAGAGAAGAGGAGGCATTTTATCATTTAAATTTTAGCTATCTGTCTTATACTATTGCACACCATACGGATAAACGAATATAACTTCGGAACATATGTGTTGGGCGTAGATGCCAGTATTTAGGAACAAAAATAATACTTATCCTCTATTGATATGAAAAAATTATTTCTTTGTTTATATTGAGCATTTAATGCTGTTTGCTTTGAAAAGAGAACAAGAAGAAGAAAATTATGTTCGACTATGGCCGAATGTTCTTTATAGCGTGTCCTTTAAGAAAAGAAAAACAATTTTAGCGGAGCGTAGATGA